TTTATATGAAAATAAAAAAAGAAGGGATATTTGGGAAAGTGCTATCCTAATAGGTTATTTTAAATAAACATATTTTAATAACTTTTAGAGAGAGAGGAAGACAGAGGGGAAAAAGAGAAACACTGGCATCTCCTGCACAGTGGATAGAGTCTTGGGCTGTGGAACAAAGGGTGTCTGGTTCAATTCTGGTCAAGGGCTCTTATCCTGGTTGCTGACCACGACCTGGCCCAGGCCTTGGTAGGGACGTGTGCAGGAGGCAGTAAATGGGTGTGTTTCTCTCACACAGATATTTTTCCCTGTCTTTCCCTTTCTCTTTCCCTTAAAATCAACAACAACAAAATATCCTAGGGTGAGGATTAAGTAAATAAATACAAAATTAAAGCCCTGGCCAGTGTGGACCAGTTGGGTGGAGCAACATCACCTGTACCAAATGCTGGTGGGATAGATTCCTGGTCAGGGCACAAGTCATGGCTTCAGGCTTCACACCCATTCAAGGTGCATACTGGAGGCAATGGATTCCCCTTTCTCTCTCACATAATACCTCAATCTCTCTCTCCCTCTCTCTTCTTAATTCTTCCTGGAGATATATTTTAAAAAAAAAATAAGAACACAGGCATGGCCTCTCTAAACTAGGAAATCCTGAGATGCAGTTTATGGAAGCATGACTGGTTCATCGCTATGTCTGATAGTCTCCCAACATGTCCAGTGCCACTTCTTTGGAAGCCTTACAGTGGCTAAGATCTATTTCAAAGTTTTCAAATATAGCCTGGAACTGAAGGTTTTAATGGAATAGCAAAGAGGACTTTTATGACTTTTTTCTCATTAATTGACACATTTGTTTTTAGGTTAATGTGTATGAAGATTCTTACATGGATACATTATGTGAAACATTTTAGGTGGTTTATGATTTCCATAAGTAGAGAAATCTCTTTTAGGACCTAAAAAACACCTAGTGGCCATATGGTACTAAAATAAAAAATAATGAAATAACTTATTATACCAAATATCACTCTATGAAAGTGCTCCAATTCCAGGTATTTGAAATATTGATATCATTTCAATTAACTAAGAAATCTAGTTCTCTACTTAGAGAAGATCCCAGCAATTGCAGTGGTAAATTGAAAATATTTGTAATAAGATAAAGTAGGCATTTTTTGAGATATCTACTCAAAAAAATAAAATCATATACATTCTAAATTCCATACTCACCAGAGTCTACTATGAGTGCTCCCTCCTCCGTGAGTTCTGTGGATATCAGGTGAGTAGGAATTCTCTTCACTCAACTGGCAGCTCCAACTTCAGTCAGTCTACCCTGGAGAAGTGATGTGTCCTATGCACAGATGGGCCTTTTATATGACTCCACTTAGGCCACACCCACTTGCTGAGATTGGCTAAAATCTACAAAAGGAAGTAACCACCTTAAATGGATTATACAGATTATAGTCTGATAGCTAATTAGGGTTACAACACATAGACAACAACACTTGGGGGCTGACACCCTAACATAAATAGGATTCAATAACTTAAAAAATGTGTGTGCATATACATGGGTATGTATTTGAGAAGTCGGTTTTTAAATGAGTGTGTGACTAAGACTCTTACAAGATGTTTTAGTCAATAAAGGAGAGACAGACCTCATTACAAATGAATTAGTATTGTAGGCATTATCACCTCAATTACTTTCATGTCTACATAGCACACTTATAACTGCTTCCATATTGTGGGGGAGAATATTTGTGTAAAAGAAGAGATAAACTGTTGTAGGGACAGGGTATAAAAGTCTGTCTAAGAAGATCTATCTCAGCTTTTCTTTCCTGCAAGCAGTGACCTTGAGTTTATGTAAGACGTGGTAATCCAGGCAGCTGCAGTGAATTTAGAATCTCATTAATCACAATTTCATTCTTTACTCATCATCTACTAACTAAAACTATTGATAGATTTAAAAGGTTTTTTGGGAGGTGATTCACTTATGAGGCTGGAGCCCTCAGAAACAGGATTAGTGCCCTTATGAAGGAGACTCCAGAAAGCTCTCTAACCTCTACTAATTGGTAAAACTGAAGGAGAAGCCAGCTGTGTATAAAACAAGAAATAGGCCTTCCCCAGAAACTGAATCAGCCAGCATCTTGACCTTGGACTTTTCAGCTCCCTGAAATGTGAGAAATACATTGATGTTGTCTATAAACCACCCAGTCTAAAGACTTTTTGCTCTAGAAGAACAAATAGGCTAAGACAATGTCCTTAATAGCCATCCATATATCTTCTTTAGTGAAGTGCCTACTCAAGTCCTCTAAATTGTACAATGACCATTGGAGTTTTGGTTTTATTTTGAATTGTAAGTGTTATTTGGATACAAAGCCTTTATGAGATATATGTATTGAAAATATATTTCTTTCTATTTATGGGTTATCTTTCTGTTTTATTAAAAAATTTAGAGCCCTAACCGGTTTGGCTTAGTGGATAGAGCGTCAGCCTGTGGACTGAAGGGTCCCAGGTTCGATTCCGGTTAAGGGCAAGTACCTTGGTTGCGGGCACATCCCCGGTAGGGGGCGTGCAGGAGGCAGCTGATCGATGTTTCTCTCTCATCGATGTTTCTAACTCTCTATCCCTCTCCCTTCCTCTCTGTAAAAAATCAATAAAATATATTAAAACAAAAAAAAATGGATCTGCTTTTGCAGTCTGTGGGGGTCCCTGGAGGCTCAGGACTATTGGACTCGACTCAAGGATGCATGGCCTAGAGGGGGAGAGGAGCCCTGGGTCCAGACCAGAACTTCAGGAGCTTCTGGGGCTCCAGTGGGGCCTCCTGGCTCTGCTGATGCTCCTATGTGACAGCCCTGTGTGATTTTTTCCAAGTTGGCTCCTGCTCATCAGTAAGGCCCCAGAGGCATCCTTAAGTCAGGGGATCTGGGGAGAGTGGCCAGAGCAGGCCAGAAGACCCAAGATGGAGCAGGAAGGGAGTGGCAGGTGGTACCAGGGTCCTCGATTTCCTCCTGGGCTCTGGACCTGCACAGAGCAGGCAGTCATTTGGAGAGGATGGGGCCAAGAAGAGCTAGTGATCCTCTGCACTTGGTTGAAAGAGTAGCTGCAAGCAAAGAAGGGGAGAGTGAGAATGCTATGAGGTGGAAAAGGTGGCGTCCACATTTGGCAGAAAGGAAGAAATCAACCTAGTTTTTTGTTTGTTTGTTTGCTTGTGAATCAACTGGGAAACAGGCCTTTTAGAAGCACAAAATCTTCTGATTGTAATTTTATTCCCAGTTCATCATGTACTATGAGGAAATGGATAAGTGAACAGATTCTTATTTTAACCAATGCCATCTGATTGTAGTAGAAAATTCAGAATTTTAGTCTGTATTTGACCAATATTTGTACTTTCCTGCCTCTTACTGATTATACTTCCTGGTCCTTCCTTCCTGCTTAGACTGGAACTATAACTCTCATCTCTGTAGCCCATGCAACTAGGACAAGGCTCACAGAGCAGTAGATGCTGAAAATGTATGATTTAAAAGCATGGTTCACAAGCAGAGGTGTGAAAACTGTGTTATTATTTTCTAATACTGTAATTGTACACTTATAAAACACATAATGAAATATTTTACTAAGACATCAAGAAATAAGATAAACTCTTAAGTCCTGACTGCTTCCATATATGAATACAAGTGCACCCTGGCCTGTTTGGCTCAGTGGATAGAATGTCAGCCCATGGACTGAAGGGTTGCAGGTTTGGTTCCGGTCAAGTGCACATACTTGGTTGTAGGATTGATCTCTGGCCTCTGATAGCACATGTGTGGGAGGCAACCAATCCGTGTGTCTCTTTTACATAAATGTTTTCCTCCCTTCTACTCTCTCTAAAAACCAATGGAAAAATATCCTTGAGTGAGGATTAACCAAAAAAAAAGGGGGAGGGGGAGGGATATGTGATTCATTTGTACATAGAGCATTAGGAAGGGTTTGGGGCAGAAACCAGAATAAAATCAGACAGTGCCTGGAAAATTGGAGCCAAGAGTCAAAGGGGACTGACTTTAATGAGCACCCAATTGAAATGAAAGGGGGGAGTTTTAAAAATTTAATTTCCAATTTTTGAAACCGGCAAGAAAAATGTGAGATGAATATACATATAGAAATCGTGCTGCCCACAAGCTCCATCCCCTCACATGACAGGGAAGATCAATACTTACTTCAGAGAGAAGGGAGACAGGTATCAGGGGCTTGACAATTTATTTTTCCCCAACTTTATAAATTAATCTAAATAATAATTTAGTCCACAATAGCAACTGTGGTAAAAAAAAAAAACCACAAAAAACTTTTATATTTTTCTTCTTATAAATATATTTTTTATTGATTTCAGAGAGGGAGACAGATAGAAACATCAAGGATGAGAGAGAATCAGTGATCGGCTGCCTCCTGCATGCCCCCTACTGGGGATCGAGCCCACAACCAGGCATGTGGCCATGACTGGACTCTAACTCAGGACCCTTCAGTCTGCAGGCCTACACTCCATCCACTGAGCCAAACCAGCTAGGGCCCCCAAAATTTTTTAAAGGCAATTATCCTATCTCCAATAAATTAGATCTTCCCCACCCCAGTTCCAGTGCAAGAGTCCTGAGAGACAGTTTCACAGAGAAAAAGTACAGGTCATTGGATCAGGGGAGTCCCTACTGCCTCGATCAGATACAAGTTGAAAATAAAACTTCTCACCTCAGAAAACTCAGTCCAATCAAGTGTACCCTCCAGAGCCTGGTCATCTCATTGTTTATTTCAAGAGCATTAATTCCATGGAATTTCTCTGGAGGGTAGATTTGAGGTATAGAGGAGAGCCAGATGTCCTACAAAAGATTTCTTCTTTCCAACTAGACCTATTTTCTTTTGTGGAAGGAAGGGGAGACAGACAAAAATGAAAAGGGACAGAGAGAAAAGCCCCTTAATTTGGTGTCAGTGCCAAGGACTATGGTTGGAAAGTTCTCTATCTCACCATTTAGAAGTGAACAAAGCTCAGTTGGAGTGAGTCAGAGGCTGGAGTTGCTGTCCTCACATTCTATATCTACATCTTCATCTTCACTGCTGGAGTCTGAAGACGCGATGCCTTCTGCCTTTCCCCCATATTCCTTCTTTTCTTCAGATCCCTGCAAAGTCCCTGATGACTCCATCCCTGGAGCCTGCAGCTCCTGCTCCTGTGCAAGCCCTCCTTGCATAGTCCCTGATGGTGGAGACTGCACATCTGTCCTGTTGATCTTGGGGTCCGGGCCTCCACGCATGTTCATGTTCTTACGCTTCCCAGAGGTCCTCTCTCTGTAGGCAGCGTACTCTTCAGGAGACAGGCTCTTGAGCCAGTGCTCCAGGTCCACCTTGTACTGTTTCTGTAGCTCCTCAGCCTGCTGCTTATAATGCTCCCTCTGGCTCCTTGGGACACACTGCCAGCGTCTGCTAATCTCCACCATGCGCTTCCTCAGGGGCAGGCCTTGCAGCTCCCTACTCGACCACATATCCTGGTGGAACTTATGGTATTCATTCATGGGGGGCTTCTCGGGCTCTCCATGGAATTTTATCTCTTCTGAAAAATCATTTTCTGGGGAAGACATCACATCTTTCCCTTTTCCCTGAAATTTCTTGGGGCCTCTGGTTGGGCTTCTTTTTGGGACAACAGATGTCTTGGAGTCCTGCACTAGCTCAGAGCAGTCTTTCCTGAACTGAGCCAGTTTCTCCTGATACTCCTGTCTCTCCTTCTGGAAATCTTGAATATATTTCATCTTCTTCTCCTCTGGGAGCTCCTTGTATTTCTCAGACATGACCTTGGTCAGCTCCTGGTTGGTGAGTTTGGGGTACATTTGGGCATACAAGGGCCGCTTCTCCTTGAAGAAGCGAAGGTAAGGAGTCAGGGGCTGCTTGGGCATGTCTGGATGTATCTTGCACATTTTGCTTTTGTAGGAATTTTTAACATGTTCCTTAGCTTCCAAGACTAATTCTTTCATAGTGCGAATCTTTCTCAATTTATAAGAAATCTCTAACCACTTGAGTTTGCACATTTCTCCAGAATAATCTTTAAAAGCTACTTTTACCCAGTCCATCTGTGACTGGGTTGTTTTGAATGTGTGCTTGTCATTGGGAGGAAGGTTATTCTCCATTCTTTCCAGTAGCTCTGCAATGTCTTCTTCACACCAGTTATCTTCGCTACTAGTCAATGCCATCTCTAAATCTTTGGGCCACTTGTATGGTCCTAGCTGTTTAAACACCTCAGCAGGATGTCAAACTTCTTCACTTTCAATACTTCCCTGGTGAATTATGTCCAGATGTGTGATTTTATGTTTCTGTGGAGATAGAAAAGTTACTCTTCAATGCAATAAATGAGATGATCACATGCCACTTAGGCTATGTCCCTTCTATAATTTAATTTACAAAGGAAAAATACAAGTGAAAACTGGTTCACCTTGGAAATGAAATTAAGATGAACTTTAAAATTCATCATTCTTCATTTTCAATATTAAACATCCTCAAGCTCAAGAAAATAAAAGAAAGGCAGAAAGAGAAAGAAAGAAGAAAAAAATAAAATTTCTCTCAAGTTCTATCCTAGCATGCCTTTCCATTTGTCTTACCACAGCTTGTCTTAATTACAAGTGAACCAAACAAATGACCAGCAACTCACTCAACAGGCATAAGATAAAACAAAGGATGGTTGAGTTAAACATATTAAAATGAAAGAAAAATGCTTAAAATGGAAAGGACTTCAAGACAACAATTGTTTAATTTTTGTCCACAATAGCCTGAAATAGACTACACATATATTAGAATGGCCAAAATTCACCTGTGTAACCTACACACCCATTAGTCACTTAGATATCTGGACTATGTTATCAGATAAATTGTACTGGCATAACAGTGTTTGTGTTCAAGTAACCCTTATTTTTCTTTTATTTTTTAATACTAGAGGCCTGGTGCACAAAAATTTGTGCACTTGGGGGGGGGGGAGGGGTGTCCCCCAGCCCGGCCTGTGCCCTCTCGCAGTCTGGGACCCCTCGGGAGATAACGACCTGCTGGCTTAGGCCTGCTCCCGGGTGGCAGAGGGCAGGCCCAATCCCTAGGTGCAGCCCCTGGTCGGGCTCAGAGCAGGGCCGATTGGGGAGTTGGGGCGCCGTCCCCTGTCATGCACAGAACAGGGCGGATTGGGAGGTTGCGATGCCACCCTCAGTCACG